ACAGTGCGCCGGAGCTCTCTGTAGGCCTTAATGCGACCTGTTCCAACACTCAGTGGATTCGAGGAAACTGCCAAGGGAGTGGAAAAGAAGTCTCTTTTCTCTGATCTTCAAGGGTGGGGATAGGCAAAATCCCAGCAGTTATAGACCAGTAGCTCTACTCCCAGTGGTATTAAAAGTACTGGAAAGAATTATTGACGATCACATCAAGGAATACCTCGATAGGTCTAATATCCTCCATGAAGCGCAACACGGTTTTAGGAAAGGCAGATCCTGTGTAACCAACCTACTCTCAGCTTGAGACGACTGGACATCATGCTGGGATATGAATGTTCCAGTCCATGTGATCTTTCTAGACTTTGAGAAGGCATTCGACACTGTTCACCATGACCTTCTCCTACACAAAATAAGCCAGGTAGGTATAGGTAAACCACTTCTGTCATGGTTGAAGGACTACCTAACTGAAAGGCAATTTTGCACCAAGGTCAATCGAGTCCGATCATCTTGGCACAGCTCGTCATCAGGAGTGTCGCAGGGTTCTATCCTGAGACCACAGATGTTCTTGATTTTTATCAATGATTTGCCATGCCGCCTAAGCTGCCCGACTCTTCTATACGCTGATGACGTGAAGATATGGAGGACGATAAAGTGTCCGGAGGACCCAGATAGACTGTAGGCAGATCTAAGGCTTCTGGAAGACTGGGCGGTAACCAGTGGCATGACTTTCAACCTGAAAAAGCGCAAAGTAGTGAAGTTACGCACCTGTAGACTGCAGAATGCAATTTACACCCTGTGCAATGAAAGCTTGTCCTGCTCAACGTCGGAACGTGACTTAGGTCTAGTTCTAACGGAGAAAATGGACACAAGCGTAAATTACACGGGGGATGTAGCGAAGGCATATGCGGTCATACACTTTACACATAGACACTTAGGTGTACTCACTCCTGAGCTCTTTCTAAGGTTGTATAAAACATACATCAGACCGCACCTTGAATTGCATAATATTATTGCACCCCCACTGCTTAGAAGAGATGCCAACCTCTTGGAAAGAATCCAACGACGGGCAACAAAAGGAGTGGTTGGTCTCCGAAATGAACCATATGACGAAAGGCTGGAGAAATAAGGCCTATTCACACTTAGTTACCGTCGTCTGAGGGGGAATTTAATTACTGCCTACAAAATAACAAATGATCAGAATCACCCAAACAAAGGTGTTCTGCCATTGAGTGGGCATAGGTTACCTCGTGGAAATCCTAGAAGGATAGCTCATCAGAGAGCAAGGACCCGGGTGGACTCCCACTTCTTTTCCCCGCGGGTTTGCCGTCACTGGAATTCCTTACCGGCAGATGTAGCTATGGCACCGTCTGGGGACGTCTTCAAGCGAAGACTGGACAACCATGCAGCGACACAAGGACTTCATCCAAATGGCCTATCCCCTTAAAATCGCACACACCATTCAAAGGTAGACAGTTAAAATGGTCGTTTTACTTCTTTACATTCCCTCCCGTCTTACTCTCCTGACAGCTTTAACTGCACCTATTATTATTATCATTATCACCGGTATATACATATATATATAAACCGGTTGACTGACTGTTGTTACGTTTTCTTATTCTTTTTCTGTCTGTTAGTCTGAATACCTTCTCTAATTATATCTTTTATTAATATTCTCTTTTCTATTGACGACGATACCGAAGGACCAACTGGTGAAAGGATCAACTCCATTCACAGTAGTAACAGTCTTAACACACCTCATTCTACAAACCACATAATAATAATAGTATATTCTCATTTTTCTTTACATGAGGGACGCCAGTTTACAGGCATCATCAATTCGATAAATTACACATACGATTAGTAAGTATAGTTAGTAATGACAATATAATAAGGTACATATTTAATCATTCAAATATAGGACACACAAGTTGTATAGGAATGGATAAGAATTATTTAAGTGACATATTTAAATTACATGATTTACGGTTAAATAACATGGTTGCTGTCATTTTATCTTTAGTTTGTTGGGAAAATCGGATAACTGGCAATTCAATGGACCACGTCACGAGATATAGAGATATTGACTTCACATTAACAAAAAAACCCAGGTATGTGTTGGATGGATTACAGATACTTGGGAAAATAAATAAAGCTTAAAGTCAATTCCCTCATATAACAATAAAATGCGTCTTACAATAATATATTCCCACTTTATGCACTTGAGGGACTCCAGTTGACAGGCATCATCGATATCATAATAATGCACACATGAAGTAAAAATGTTTAAAATTTTTCACTAACACAAAATATATATACAAGGGAAGATAATGAAATATTGACCGTAAGTACACTCTGCATAAGTTAAAACAGTTTATATGGCATAATCCTAGGCACAATTATTGTTTGAATTTGTTGAACATGAGCGAAACAACTGAGTGTTGCGTTACATTCGGTCGATATGGTGGGCTAGTCACAAAAGTATAAAAATGACTTATAAAACGTTACTCAGTTTTAAGCAATATAAACTGCAAAAGGCTCACCACAGCAGTTAGTATCCAGTTAAACATGCAGAGAAGTAATTATAATTCAGCAACTGGTGAATTTTTTATACTTTTCGGTCTGGAACCTGAGTAACTGCGAACCAATCCATACAAAAATGTCGAAAGAGGCATGCAGGAGCAGAGTTTTGCCATCGAATGAGTCATTGGGATCTGAGATGCAGCTATCAGCATGTTTTCGTCATTTCATAGATATCCAGATTTATTGACGCTGTACAGGTAGTGATTTCGATTGGTCATCATGATCGACATATGGACGAATATTCAAAATTGGAATACAACTTGTTTGCATTTCGGATTCAGTTAATTACATCGCGTGTTGGGTTTGATTACTCTGCGATTTTGATATATTCCGCGGTGTCGCCGTGATTATGGGAAGTGTGCATATGCTTTAAATGCATTACTTTGTTGGCTGCAATCTCCACTGAGTGTATACAACGGGAACTGTGGATTTATGTATTTGCTCATAACTGTGGATAAAATATCGCCGCATTCCTTTTGGAAAGGAGACCAGTTGGTGGATTATAAATAATGTCCAAGTAACTTATATCCTTCCATGTGATGTTGTGGTAAGTCTCGACCTTGTTTTCTCATATTTCATTCGTATGTTGATTATGGTTCAGGCTTTGTATCAGGTAGACATAATTCGATCGACTCTTATTTGTATGGGTGTTATTTTCATGACTGCTGCTTTTTTGTCTGAAATTATAGATAAAGGCAAAAGAAACAACAGGTGTAGTCTCTAAGTTCATACATTAAATGGGCCTATAATTTCTGAAGCTCTTACATGGGAATTAGCACTGGTATCACTTACAAACCCACTTAGTGTGTCATTAAGAGCTTTTTCAAAGGACACCAGTGAACTTGCTAGTCACATTTCCTCAGGTAGTTTGTTCCATATTTGGGCATACCTAATCATGAAAAATTTTTGCCTGGTGGCTGTTTTACATTGTTCTATAGCCACCGTACCTTGAGTGTGTCTAAGGTTATATCCAGTGTCTTCTGAAAACCGAGTACAATTAGTAGGGGTATACACTATGTGGTTAAGTAGTTTATAGAAGAGTACCAGATTTAGTCGCAGTCGTCTTAACCATAATGTTTCTAGTCCTAGAATTTCACATCTGGTAGAGTAGTTTGTGCCGTTTTCGGTTTCGAGTACTTTCAGCGTGAAGTACCTCTGTACTCCTTCTACTTTTAGTTTGTCTTCTATGCGTATACTACTAAATATGAATGAACAATAGTCTAGGAGTGGGCGCACACAAACCTTGTACAGTAGTATTCTGGATTCACTTCTGTAGAAGTTTCTGAGTAGGAAACCAATAAGCCTGCGTGATTTCGATACTTGTTTCGAGATATGTTCAGAAAATGATAGATTGTGTGAATATGTCAGTCCTAGGTCTAGCACAGATTTGAGTCTAGGGATTTTGTGGCCCTGAATTGCTAGGTCGAGTTCTAGGTTAGGACAGCCTATGCAGAGCCAGCCACACTTTTCGACATTAAACTCAAGTCTCCAGGTGTCACACCATATATCCATTTTTGTTAATTCTTCATGTATGGAGTTCATAGTTGTACCGATATCTGTGTTTGTGCAGGTATATGTCACCTTTAAGTCATCTGCATACAGTATTGGCTTGCCTATACTAAAGCACTCACATATACTGTTTATGTATATAATGAAAAGAAGGAGTCCCAATACATTCCCCTGGATGACACCACTGCTAATCGGCCCAGGCCTGGAGGTCATCGAGCCAATTTTTGTTGTCTGATTTCTGTCACTGAGAAATGATTTTATCCAGTTGTGGAGGGGGTTGCGTATCCCTAGTGAGCATAGCCTACTGACTAACAGACTATGTGGGACTCTGTCGAAGGCTTTCCTGATATCGAAATAGAGGATAATTATTAGTTCTCTCCTATCTCTTCTATAGGTGACTTCGTTGAAAAAGTCTATATGGCAAGTGACGCAAGATCTTTTTTTGAGGAATCCGTGTTGCGACTGGTTGATGAGTTTGTGTTTTAGAAAGTAGTCTGACATTTGGTCTTTGATTACTTTCTCCATGATCCTTGATATGACAGGTGTTATATTGATAGGCCTATAATTACATGCACTAGTTTTGGCCCCTCCTTTATGCTTAGGTAGTATATACGTGTTTTTCCAAGTTTCAGGGTAGGTCCCAGTCACTAGTGAGAGGGTGAATATTCTAAGTAATAGTACTATCATATCCGAGCCACCGTTTTTATAAATGATAGATGGTATATCATCTATCCCACAACTACCGTTAGCTTTTAGTGTCTTTACCGCTGATGCTATATTTTGCATATTAAAGTTGATTTCACCTAACTCGTAGTTATTTTTGCAGGTTATATCGAGGATTGGAGACGGATGCGCTTTGGTGTTATTGGAGAACCATTGGTTTAGGAGTTCACAAATAATCTGGGGATCATCATAAATTATACCTTCATGCTCCAATTGACCAACATTATTTTCTTTCTTTGCAAGATCTTGCAGAGTTCCTGAGTTTTAGAGGTGCCCCCTAGGGCTTTATTTTCCTCGAATTGTGCCTTCATTTTATGTCTCTGCTCAAGATTTTTAAATGTTTCATGTATCTGGTGTAATGCACTAAATTCTTTATATAAATAAAATTTCCTTTTCAATTTCCTTAGTTTTAATCGCGTTTTGCGGTCTGTGAAAAGAGTTGGTGTCCTTAAGGCAGACTTTAGGGGTGCGATTGTATCGCTTACCGAACTGACCGTCTTGTAGAAGGTATCAAGTGTTACTTCTAAGTTATCATTGGTAAAGTATTCATCCCAGTCAGAGCTTCTCAAGAGCGTTGGTAGGAATTCCCAGTCGGCATTTCTATAGTCCCTATATTGATAGTGAACCGGGGAATTTTTAGGTGTGTGTTTAGTTATTAGTTGAAGAGGTAGGGTGCAGTACAGTATGTTATGATCACTGTTGTCGAGTTTATCCCCCACCTCTATCGAGATCGGCTTTATTTTGTGGCAGAGGGCTAAGTTGAGAATACAATTAATCCCTGCACTACTCCTTTTGGAGTCAACCAAAGATACGACAGTCGAGTGGCGGGACGAGCTACGCATAAGTTCACCGAAGATCTGGAACCTCTACCTTACAATCAAGAAGTGAGCTCAAAGAAATCATATTGGTTTATACTAGCTCGTAATCAGGATATTGGATATTGGGCGGCAATTCGAAAGCGGTTTATTCTTCGCTCTAACTAAAATCCTTGGTTGCGTTTTCAAACAACAGCCTACCATCCTCAAGCTAATGGTATGGTAGAACGTCTACACAGACAGTTGAAAGCTGGCTTATCAGCTGCAAATAACACCCATTGGACTGAATCCTTTCCGTTAGTTCTCCTAGGGATACGAAACGCTTTAAAAACCGATGCTGGTTGTACTACCGCTGAGCTAGTATATGGCACGACACTACGACTGCCAGGTGAGTTTATTTCTCCCTCGAGCTTCCCACCAGCGTTAGATCACTCCTCACACGTCAGGAGGCTTACAAACGCAATGCGTTCAGTTAAACCTGCTCCCCTCCGACCACAGTCTATTGATGTCTTCGTTCACCCCTGTTTAAAAACTTCTTCACACGTATTTGTTTGTCGCGACTCTGTGCGTCGCCCTCTAGAACCCCCGTATGACGGACCATATAAAGTAATTAAACATACGGATAGATTCTTTGTTTTAGGCAAAAAAGGCCGCGAAGACGCCGTCGGCATTGACCGTCTGAAACCGGCTTACTTAGAAGGTAACCCTATTAGCTTAGAGCTAAGCGTGCCCGATAATCCGCAAGTAATTGAAGATCCTTTAGTCCTAGAAGAACTCCTTAGCACGGCGAAAACCACCGAACCCTCTAAAAAACGCATTCTGGACGTCACGTGAGATTCCCGGAATACCTTCACACCTATATCACATAACTCATTCGTTCGTGGTATTAATCATTATTTCTTCTCTTCAGACACATCAACTTTTTTATGTAGCATCACTAAACACAACTAAAAGATTTTTTCCCATAACCGTACATTATACATGCACTTAAAAACAAAATTTATATTAGATGTATTTTTTTCGATATTTTAAACTTAACATTATTTTACTGTATCGTAGATACACGTCATTTTCTTTTACAGAAACGCTCATTTGGTATATTTTCCTCAACAGGGTTCTTAGCATTCTTGTTTTCTTTTCCAGGTGCCACGGGCACTGGACAAGAAACAAATGAAGCACGGGATCCAACGAACAACATCGAGGAAGCTAAGTACAGACACCCCATTAGCATAGGCAGACAGTCCAGTAGGCACTCCACCAAGCTGCTCGGAAGATTTTTTTCACCCATGAGGGAACCATTCCAACAACCCCACTAGAGGGGGAGTGAGCTGTAGCGGTAAATAATTCCCCAAAATTATTGACCACAACAATCATCACTCAACATTGGATGCTGACTCTTGCTGTTTAAGTCGACTTGTTTAGCTGAAGGCTTCCGGTCAAGCATCCTCGCCATGTGATACTCCGTCGTGTCACGTGCGTGCACGATTACTAGCTAGCTAAGCATTCACTTCAACCCGCGACTTGGTCCCAAATATGTTACGTACTTTGGACGACTAAATCTGGTCTTTTGCTTTGTCTTTGGTACTCGAAAAGCGAACACTATAGAAGTAGTTGGTATAAGATCTGCATTAGTATACTCCGTACAGTTCACGAACGTCGATACCTTCAGCTTCCAAACCATATTTATAAGACCAGAGACCGAAGCTCAATATACGCACCTGCTCAACTCCGTACCTGTGATATACAGTCGTAATTTGGTCATATGCTTAGCACTTAGAGTGAAGATTTCAGGCCATCTGGGATATTTTAAGCGAGAACGGATACCCAGAGTAAAATATTAGCTTACATGAAGCGGCAATAGTGGAGATGAAGTCATTATTTTTACTCCTCTAATTCAGAGCAGACGCTCCTGAAGAGATTCTACTCCAAGGTCCAACAAGAGGGGTAACGAAGACTTTGTACTCTGCACATATGTTCCTATCATTCAGCAGCCGTCCAATATTCAACGAGAAACTGAGAGACGTCTTGCCTAACATGAGCTCTTCCTCTTTGCATGCCATTTCAACTGTTCCAGTGATTTCAGTTATATAGGACGTGCGGTTAGGCAGGCTCATCTCCGGATTAGAAAACACTTTGTTTGGCAAGGAGGAAATCGGATGCACACAAAGTTCGATTATGTTCCTCTTGGTAGATATAGCACATCATATCGACACTAGCATAGCCTTCAGAGTTACACACTAAATTCCGAATTCAATACCACGCGTGGTTCTCCTACGTTTTCTATATTTATAGCTAAAGAAGCTGAAACAGCACTGACTAAATCGGAACTTTGTATCCAAAGGTGCACGTTTGCGCGTTTTTTCTACCCTATCGAAACTTGAACTTCAGTTTCATCTCTCTAGGAATTCTCCATCTTGTCACCCATTTTTCTCCCTTCACTTTGCTTATCTCAGTTTACTATTACAGTTGTTGTCATTCATTGCGACCGGTAATCGTCTTTCCTGCATTCGTCCAATACTGTCGAAAATTGCATTTGTACCATTCGGCCTCATCGTAAATGTTACTATCCATTTTCTTGATACACGCCCGCACGTGTTTTGTTCCACATGTTAGTTATTTTATGAAGAATATTTCGTTGCGGTCTTAGTACCCCCTCCTCATTTCACAATATTTCGTGGTCGATTTCAGCCCAACAAGTTGATTCTCCCCCCTATAACCAACACGTTATCCTAAGTCAATACATATCCCTCATATAACTGACCATTGCTGTGATGACATGCATTTTATTTTCCGACTGTAAGTGCCAGCGAAGAATTCATTGAAAAGACTATTCATCCTTCAGATTGACTTCCAATTCATGATGTAGAAAGCTTCACCGCTATGCAAATTTTCAGTATGCGTGTGACCAGGTTGTGTAATTACTTTCACATCCCAAGTTCTCAGTGTTGTGAAAAGGTTGAAGGGTTACAGGCAGTTTCATTACAGAAGACTTTTTATCAACAGACGGCCATAGATTAGTTGAACACATCTGGCAAGGTAAGCAATTTTCTAGGGATATGTGCCATTTGTTCAAAGGCATAGCCTTCGCAGAGATTAGAAGTTGTTGCCTCGAGAGGGAACGTGGTCATGAAAGCTGACATATATTAGGTTGCAGACTTCAATTCGATCAGATGAGTAAATAAACCTAGGATGGAGTGAAATAAAATCATCTCATAAAACAGGATATCTGATATTCTCTTTACGAACTAGTGTAAGCCAAGTCGGTTTCCTTAGACTGGCTTCTCAGATACGAATTAAGGGTCCCTGCTCATAGGTAAACTTCTGTGTAGTCTGTCTCTCCACCAGACTGCTCTAGCTTTGTGTGACTCCAAAGAAGAGCTGTGCTCAGATGGCCTGAATTATATATATATATATATATATATATATTCCTGTTTATGCAGGAACATACCAATTGTACAGGCATGGATAAGTTATTATATAAATTACACATATTTCGATGTATGTAGAATTTACAGTTTGTTTGTTCTTTCTGACATTACAGTCAGTCGGAACAGTCTGCTAAATAGTCTGTCTGTGCAACACATAAAGAGATATAGAAATATTGTCTTCGCATTAACAAAAACTCAGCATGGCAGACTGTACATGTAAGTTGAGTAATACATTGAAAACTGTTTGAAAACCAGTTGCTCCTTTATTTCAGATCAAGAATACTCCTTGTACAGAATGTTGGCCAGCGTTTTCAAATGGTAGCATCGGATCGTTCATGGATTTTGAGTTTGAATTTACTTAAATGGTCATTTCAGTTTAGATGTTGGGTTGTTCGACCTCGACCAGGAGATATATAGAAGTGCAAGCTCAGGATATAATAACAGAAAGAGAAAGTATGTAAACATGAACAGGACGTTAATATTTTATGTATATATAAATGGCTATAAATGTATATCAATGTATAGTAAACACTACCTATAATCTAGTTGTTTTTCATGTGTTTTTGCGAAGTCTTAGAGTTTATTTAGTGTCGTAATATTTAGTAATGAGTCTAAGCGTTATAGTGTGCTAATAGCTCATGCGTTTTAGAAATAAGTGGTGCAGTGTGATTGGCATAGTCATTGGTATGAAGCAGTTTATATAGCAAGCGTTTGAAGGTTATAATAGAGTGACAGGTCCTTATCTCTAGGGGTAAACTGTTCCAGATCTTAGAATACATGACTATGAAGAAGTTTGCACGGAGTGCTGTCTTACAGTTTTTCCTAGATACTTTGCACGTTTGGTTACGAAGGTTGTAAGAGCCTTCCGGTGAGAACTGTATCTCCTTGCTGTCTGAGAATGATATTTTATGCAAGACTTTAAAGAAGAATGTTAGGTTAATGCTCAGTCGTCTCACCCAGAGTGGGTCGATACCTAGAGTTATACACCTTGATGTGTAGTCCTTTTCGCAGTCAAATCCTAGTAGTTTAGACGTGAAGTATCGTTGGACACTTTCTATTTTAAGTTTGTCACTTACGTGAGTGCTGCTGAGAATAAATGGACAATATTCAAGTAGTGGTCTGACACAAGTTTTATATAATAATAGTTTCGCTTCGTAGTTGTGGAAATTCCTGAGTATGCAACCCAAGAGCATCCTCGATTTACGCGTCTGTGTCGCCACTTGCTCAGAAAATGTCAAGTCACTAGAGTACCTGAGTCCTAGGTCAACAACACTTTGGAGTTTAGGCAAGTCAAGAGATTCAAGTACCAGTTTAATATTTATTGAGGGTGCACCGAAACAGATCCAACCACATTTTTTAAGGTTGAATTTTAGGTTCCATGTGGAGGACCATGCGGTTACTCGATCTAGTTCTTCCTGAACAGCTTTCTGAAAGTACCCTAAGTCATCACAGTGGAATGTGTTAGCTACTTTAAGATCATTTGCAAAGATGAATGGTTTACCAAGTGAGAAACAGCTGCATATGTCGTTGACATATAGAGTGAATAGGAGGGGGCCTAAGACGCTACCTTGAACTACTCCAGAAGTGACTGGACTAGGC